GTCAGAATAGTCTGTTGAGCTTGTAGGGCTTGGAGGATCTTCCATAGTTGCTGTACTGGAAATCTGTCTCTGAGTCTGCAGGGACCAGAGGTAAAGCAAGAGAGGAAGCAAGAACCATCCAATGGTGGCCTCCTGTATAGGTAGAATATCCATCGGGTCGAGTGCCTATCAGTCTCCAGCTGGTCTGGAGGAGCAATTACTGCTTAACACACAAGGTCTCAGTAGATTGCAGAGGAGCATTCTCTTGATAGATTGGGCCCTCTGAGACCATGTCGTACCCTGCCGTCGGTGGAGAGGGCTGTTTTTTAACATATGGGATATGCTCCCATTTGGACTCCAGCTTACTGCCCCTGGAATTTTTGTAGTTTTCACCAGCACCCGTTCCCCTGATTGCAACAGCAGATCCTACAGGGTGGAATCGAGAGCCAGTTCCTTTTGCCTATTCAGTTCCACCTTTTAGCTTTTGTATCCTTTTCCAGTGTTCCTGCACCAATGTGCTGGGTGTCCAGGGAGGTGGGTTTTCTGGGGAACCCAGTAGGAGGTCCACTGGCATTCAACCACAGCGCCTGAACATTAGGAAGAAGGGCAAGTGACCTGTGGCTCAGTCGACTACATGCTCTCAGACCACTTGTACATGTTAGGAGCTGTCTGATCTCTGGTGGGAACTACAACCACAATCTTGGTAAAGTGGTCAATAAAAACCAGAGCATAGTGATACCCTGAGGGGGAGCTGGATATTGTCAAAAAGTCCATAGTGACTAGTTCAATGGGCTTGAAGGTGGTGATAGTCATGGGTGCTTTGTGCACAGAGCAGCTTTCAAGATCCTGCCAAGCCCTTTGCACCCAATCTGCCAACTGGGGAAGAAGAAGTATATCCTGACCAGGGACTCAGTTTGGTCCACTCCGAAGTGTCCGCCCGCAACGTGTACTACTTGGCAGATTTCAAAGATATGCAACTTGGGGACCACAAATTGTAGTATGTTCTGTTGTTTGGTGGGGATGCGTGCTTGTCGGTACAGCACTTTGTCCCATGTCTCAAGTCATTTCCACTGTCTCAGGATTTTGACATTCACAGGAGAATGGTTTGTGCCACCGTGAAAGGAGGCGTTGTACCTGCATGAGATTGGGGTCCTTTTGTTGGATCAATGCCCATTCCTTATTACTGTAAATCTTGGAAGCCTTTGTCTGAGATACTGTGGCCTGTTCCTTGAGGGAGTGCGAGATGGCTAACGTAGGCAAGACAGGGGACACCTTGATTTCCACTTGGCCAGAGTCCATATCCTCTTCAGAGTGTTCCACCAGATAGCAAGAGAGAGTGTCTGTGTGCCCCTTAAGCCCTCTGGCCTGTAGTAAGTTTTGAGTTTGAATCACGTCAGGCGGGCAACCGGTCTCTGCTACAACACCCTTAGTTTTGCTGTATCCAGGTAGGCGAGGGGGTTGTTGTCCGTGAAGACATCTATGTCCACTCCAGTGAGATACTCTGTAAATTTCTCAGTGATGGCTAACACTAGGGCCAACAGCTCCAGTTTGAAGGAGCTGTAGTTGTGGAGGTTTTTCTCTGTTGGCCATAGGCTGTGGTCCACATAAGCAATCACTCATTTGCAACAGTCCTGTACTTGAGCCAGGATAGCTTCCAGGCCCTGTAAACTCCCATCTGTATACACACGAAAGGGCTTGGAGTAGTCTGCATAGGCCAGTAATGATGCCAAGGTCAATTTTGTTTCAGAGTTTCAATGGCCTCTTGCTCTGCCACTGGGTTTGCACGGAAAGAGTCTGCTTTTCTTCTGGTTAGCATGCCCACTCAATAGTTGGGTATGAGGAGCGACTATTTGGGTGAACCTCAAGATGAACCATTGGTAGTACCCCACCTAATCAAGTAACATTTACTGATCTTAAGCTTTAACTCATACTGTGTTAGACACCTGGTACAAGTGCTTAACATGGTCCTCAAAATTCTTGGAGAATATGATGATATCATCCAAGTACACTAACACAGTCTCAAAGTTGAAATCTCTCAGGCGTCTCTCCATTAGATGTTGAAATGTACTAGGGGCATTACTCAACCCAAAGGGCATGCGGTTAAATTTTAACAGTCCCAAAAGTGTAATAAAGGCAGTATTTTTACAATCTTGATCTCGTACTGGGACTTGCCAATAACCGCTAACCAGGTCAAGGGTGGAGAAAAACTTGGCTTGCCTGAGTGCCGTAAGAGAATCCTCTACCCAGGGCAATTGGTAGGTGTGAAAGCATTTAGCTTGTGGTAGTCCTTGCAGAAACACAGGCTTCCATCTTTTTTCACACCAGCACCATGCGGGCAGCCTGTTCTGTAACATATTCCAGAGTAGGTCCTTGATCTCCTGATACAGGACTGGGGGAATGTAGAGGTACCACTCCCGGATGTGTGGAGTATTCCCTATATGGATTGGGTGATCAATGGCTTTGGTAAACCAGTAGTCTTCCGGGCTGGTGGTGAAGACTAGTAAGTGTTTTTCCAGCAATTGATGCAGTAGTTGCTGTTGAAGTAGAGGAATGTTCAGTTGTTCCAGCAATAGCTTGCATTGGCATTTTTTGGGATGAAGCCATGGCTACCTGTAGAGGGGAACATACTGCTTTCACCCCTTGTTAGGTCTCTGTTAGGTCTCTGAGATACAGTGACGATGCCCCACATAAAGAACTAATATGATGGCAAGGTTGGGGAGTGAGATCTGGGTTGTCCCCAAGTTGATGAGCTGCACCAGAACTTTCCCTTTGTGGATATTGGATAAGGTGCGAGTGACTAGCCCCTCCCCTGGTGCCACTATGGAAGTCCCTCCGGGATACCACCATGAACGTGGCCCCTGAAGCTTTTTGTGTGCCCTGATGGGTTGCAATTAGACCTTTTCTTGAAAGCACCAGGAGTAACTTTTGTTTAGGAGTGGTGTGGACAACCCCCACCTGTTCGGGCTGTTTCCTCACTGCCCTTTGTTGAGCCTCATTGCCTTCAGACTACATCTCCGTGCATGCCAGCTGAAATGCTCAAGCTTGAATTGCAAGTCCTTCAATACATTTATGCCCCGAACAACAGGTAGCTGGAACATGGGCCACTTGCTCCACCACCTGATCCTTTATCTGAGTCCTCACCCAGGTAATATCCTCTACCAGTATACATGTCCAAAGTGGCTGCACCGCCACAGCACTTCTGGTCTCCCCACAATGGCTTCTCACCCTTAAGGGGGTGGGCCAAGTCCCGTATGAATTAGGACATTTCTTGTTTCAGGGAGGCCATATCTTGTGCTAGTTCCTTTGGAGCAGTCTGTATGGCTGACAGGGGCGAAGGAGCTAAGGCCTCCTTTTTCAAGTGCATTGGGTCATACATCTTTGTCACTGCCACAGTTGCTTCCGCACCTTCCTGTTCCCACACAGCCACCTCTACCACAATGTCATTGAAAGAGATGGTAGGTTGTGCTCTAATTCGCTCTTACAGGGCCCTCCTTATCAGGTTGGCTTTCATTCCCACCGTGAACTGGTCCCTTGGTAGAAGGTCTGATTTGGTAATATCAGCACAGCTGTGCACATCCCTCTTCTCCTGGCATTTCCAGAGATTCTGGAGTGCTACTACAATGTGGATGAGGCTCTCATCTTCCTGCTCCCTCCAGACAAAGTATCTTCACCTCAACTTTGGGACTGTTATATTCTCTCCAAATAGGCCCTCCAGGTGTGACACAATCTGCTCCATTGTGGCTTGTTCCTCTGTCATTAGCGCCATCACTGTTTGTCGGGTGCCATCCTCGAAGGCGTTAATAGCTAGCTCCATGATCAGCCAGACAGGAACCTGATATAGGCACACAGCACTTTCTAATCTCCCTTCCCACTCCCCCAGAGGAATATTGGAGCTGGTAAACTTAGGCACTAGAGTCAAGGCCGTTTCTAATGGTGCCATGAAAGACCCTGCTCTTGTTTCCGCAAGAAGGGACATATCCTGCTGACTGCCACCAATTGTGGGGAGGTGCAGTGTGGTGCGTAAATATACAGAGCCCAGTTGCAGAAACAAAACTTGTATTAAAGTCAAAGCCCTGCGAGGAGGAACCCACGCAGGAACACTCACGGGTTCCAATGCCAATGTGGAATGAGGCAGGTTGTCAGGGCTCCCGGGTATGACCAGAGGTGTGTGACTGACGCGGGGAAACGCAGACTTCAGATATGTTATAAACAATGTAATTTATTAACACTAACCATACAAACATAAACGCAGTGCAATACTAAAACATAACACAGTGCAAACAAACCAACCAACCACCCACAGATAACAGTACATACAATGCAAGCGTCGTCAGGCAGGCCGGGTCAATATCAGTCGGGTAGGTAGGTACAGGGGGAGCAAGCGGAGAATGGTCGGGGTCACAGGCCAGGTTCAGCAGGTAGCGGGCAGCGTGGTACAGAGGGTCAGGCAGAGGAGAATGGTCAGACAAGCCAGGGATCAGAGCAGGGTCAGCAGAGAATCAGACAGGAACAGAGAGCAGGAAACAGGATACAGGGCCCAAGAGAAACACAACACCAAGGCAGAGTCTGCAGGTCTGAATGTCCCTTAAATACACCAGTATAATTAGTTCCAGGTGTTTGACTGGCTGCAAGGTTGAGTCTCTGATTGCTGGGAGCACCCGCTGGCCAGCCCTGGTACTGCAGCTCATAAGGCAGCTGAGTCCCACTATTGCTGGCCAGTCCATTCCTGACAGTACCCCCCCCCCCTCAAGGAGCGGCCTCAGGACGCTCCAAACAGTCCTAGCTGGGCAAAATGTTCCACCGCCCCGGTCTGGTAACTGGCGGGATATCAAAGACTGGCACACCGGGCAGGACTCCGGGCAGCGGCACACCGGGCAGAGGCACATCGGGCAGGACTCCGGGCAGAGGCACATCGGGCTGGACTCCGGGCAGAGGCACATCGGGCTGGACTCCGGGCAGAGGCACATCGGGCTGGACTCCGGGCAGAGGCACTCCGGGCAGCGGCACACCGGGCAGAGGCACATCGGGCTGGACTCCGGGCAGAGGCACATCGGGCTGGACTCCGGGCAGAGGCACATCGGGCAGAGGGCCTACCGGGCAGGACTCCGGGCAGAGGCACATCGGGCAGGACTCCGGGCAGAGGCACATCGGGCAGGACTCCGGGCAGAGGCACATCGGATTACCAGGCGAAGCAGCAAGCAGCGGGCCACCAGGCGGAGCAGCAGGCACCGGGCCCGCAGGAGGGGGCGACAGGCATCGGGCCCCCAGGCGGGGCGACAGGCATCGGGCCCCCAGGCGGGGCAACAGGCATCGGGCCCCCAGGCGGGGCAACAGGCATCGGGCCCCCAGGCGGAGCGGCGGGCGCCGGACCCCCAGGCGGAGCGACAGGTCTCGGGCCCTCAGGCGGAGCGGCGGGCGCCAGACCCCCAGGCGGAGCGACAGGTCTCGGGCCCTCAGGCGGAGCGGCGGGCGCCGGACCCCCAGGTCAGGCGGAGCGGCGGGCACCGGACCCCCAGGCGGAGCGACAGGTCTCGGGCCCCCAGGCGAAGCGGCGGGCACCGAGTCACCAGGCACGACAGTGGGCTCCGAGTCAACTGGCATGACCGCTGGCACTGGGTCAGACATTGGATCGTCTGGCTGGACAGCGGGCATCGGGTCCCCAGGCATCAGGTCATTTGGCTCGACAGCGGGCACCGCGTCATCTGGCAAGGCAGTGGGCTCCGAGTCAACTGGTATGACCGCGGGCACTGGGTCAGACATTGGATCGTCTGACTGGACAGCGGGCATCGGGTCACCAGGCATCAAGTCATTTGGCTCGACAGCGAGCACCGCGTCATCTGGCAAGGCAGTGGGCTCCGAGTCAACTGGCATGACCGGGGCACTGGGGCAGACATTGAATCGTCTGGCTGGACAGCGGGCATCGGGTCACCAGGCATCAGGCATCAGGGGCACCGCGTTTGGCTCGACAGTGGGCACAGTGGGCACCGGGTCGCGTCATCTGGCAAGGCAGTGGGCTCCGAGTCAACAGGCACGACAGTGGGCACCGGGTCATCAGGTACCGGATTGTCTGGCTCGACAGCGGGCATCGGGTCACCAGGTATGACAGCGGGCACTGGGTCACCAGGCATCAGGTCATTTGGCTTGCCAGCGGGCACCGCGTCATCTGGCAAGGCAGTGGGCACCGGGTCACCAGGTACGACAGCGGGCTCTGAGTCAATTGGCACGACAGCGGGCACCGGATCAGGTACCGGATCATCTGGATCAACAGCGGGCATCGAGTCAACTGGCCTAATAGGATCGTCAGGCTGGATCAGTTCATCATGCTGGGTAGAGGCATCAGGCTGAATGCCGGCGTCCGGCTGAGTAGAGGCTTCAGGCTGAGTAGAGGCTTCAGGCCGAGTAGAGGCTTCAGGCCGAGTAGAGTAGAGGGCTTCAGGCCGAGTAGAGGCATCAGGCCGAGTAGAGGCATCAGGCCGAGTAGAGGCTTCAGGCCGAGTAGAGGCATCAGGCCGAGTAGAGGCTTCAGGCCGAGTAGAGGCTTCAGGCCGAGTAGAGGCTTCAGGCCGAGTAGAGGCTTCAGGCTGAGAGGCATCAGGCTGAGTAGGCATCAGGCCGAGTAGAGGCATCAGGCTGAGTAGAGGCATCAGGCGAGTACAGGCATCAGGCTGAGTAGAGGCAGGCATCAGGCAGGCTGAGTAGAGGCATCAGGCTGAGGCATCAGTAGAGGCATCAGGCTCAGGCTGAGTAGAGGCATCAGGCTGAGTAGAGGATTCAGGCTGAGTAGAGGCTTCAGGCTGAACCACGGAAGGCAGGTTCACCGGTTTGGATACTGGCAGGATGGTATTGGTTGGAAAGAATTTTCGCTTTTTTCTGGTTTTAACTACTGGAGCACTGCAAGTAAACGCAGGTCTGCAAACGAATGGAGCAGCTGGAGACAGAGAAGAACTGGAGGATGGAACAGGAGAGGGAGCAGTTGCTACAGAGGGCTTTTTTACAGGGTTAAAGGCAGGATAGGTGCAGCGAGTGGGAACAGGGTACTGACATGCGGTAGATAGCAGGGCAGGAGGAGCTGTTGGGAATGCAGGAATAGAGTTTTGAGGAAATAGATTAGAAGCAGGACTGGGTTTTTGTAAGCTGACTGAGGCTGGGTGCAACAAGTCTGTCCATGTCTGCAGTATGGGTTGAACAAAGCTGAGCTTACACAAAGCCTGTCTGACCAAAGACTGCACTGCGTTTATACAATCTCTTAGTGTCTGTGGTGAACATGTGGAATAACGCTCCAGAAAGTAACCCACATCATCCTCTAATAACCACACCAGGGACTCTACCTGGTCTGCACTAAATGGTGGCAAAAATTCATCCCTGCATTCGGGGGTACCAGATGAAACCAACTCAGCACAAACCTCAATCAAAGGCTGCACCTCAGAGAACTCTGTGCCCTGATCTACTAGAACATGAGCGAGCCGTATACATTCTAGCAGTTCATCCCGGGGATACTCCTTCAGAGTTTGATAAGCATACTCCCTGTCATCAAACACTAGCAGATATAAATACGCAACCTCATCCAGATCCATCCTTCCCATCAACAAGCCAAGATGGCTTCCCTGTGCAGCCACTTCTGGTCAGGATTGGCCTTGGTGTAATGTCAGGGCTCCCGGGTATGACCAGAGGTGTGTGACTGACGCAGGGAAACGCAGACTTCAGATATGTTAAAAACAATGTAATTTATTAACACTAACCATACAAACATAAACGCAGTGCAATACTAACATAACACAGTGCAAACAAACCAACCAACCACCCACAGATAACAGTACATACAATGCAAGCGTCGTCAGGCAGGCCGGGTCAATATCAGTCGGGCAGGTAGGTACAGGGGGAGCAAGCGGAGAATGGTCGGGGTCACAGGCCAGGTTCAGCAGGTAGCGGGCAGCGTGGTACAGAGGGTCAGGCAGAGGAGAATGGTCAGACAAGCCAGGGATCAGAGCAGGGTCAGCAGAGAATCAGACAGGAACAGAGAGCAGGAACAGGATACAGGGCCCAAGAGAAACACAACACCAAGGCAGAGTCTGCAGGTCTGAATGTCCCTTAAATACACCAGTATAATTAGTTCCAGGTGTTTGACTGGCTGCAAGGTTGAGTCTCTGATTGCTGGGAGCACCCGCTGGCCAGCCCTGGTACTGCAGCTCATAAGGCAGCTGAGTCCCACTATTGCTGGCCAGTAGAGGATAAGATGCAGCCTGGTCACTCTGTACCCAAATAGGAGGATTCCAGAGAGGATGGCTTGTCCCTATCCTGTCCCTACTCATCTGGAACCTTTGCCTACCGCTATTCACTTTCTCTGAGAGACGGGTTACCTGTTCCTACACTATACACTCACAAGATGTGCACTAAACCAAAAAGCCAGGGTCTTAAATAGACTCTGCCTGACCAAAGATGGCCACCAGAGTCACATGGGGCAGCAGCATTAAACTGGATATCTTACTCAGTGATCCAGGAAACCATAGAGGAGCATTTATCCCTTGACTTCCTCTCCCTCTGTCATGCCTCTGCGATTGAGTGCCACTTGCAGTGGAGAAAGTAGACTGCTGACATACTAAAATTGGAACACTCAAAATCTGGTGCAGCTGTGTATGGTAGCCAATTTGCTTTTAACTGCAACTTGTTCAATTAACCTTTGACAATAAAACCTGGAAGCTGATTGGTTTCTATGCAGAGCTTCACCAGATTTTGCACTCTCCAGTTCAAGTAAATCTCTCCTAATGGTTCAATACTTTTTATACTCCACACTACTACGTCTAGGTCTAGTGTCAATTAGATTAAACATGTGGTACTTTTTCTATTACCACAACCTCAGATCATGAAAGCCCTGACTTATGGAGAGGTCCTACCATACATATTTGAATAGTTTATTTAGTAAAGTTGAAAAGAGACATAAGTCCATCTAGTTCAACCAATGGAAAAAATAAACAAATAGAATAAATAATCTCCATATACATAATCCTATACCCACAGTTGATCCAAAGCAAAGAAAAGAAACAATATTTGAAAACATGGTCCAATTTGCTCTTGTGAGGGAAAAAATGCATTTCTTCCTAATCCCCTGAAGGCAATCACAAATTTCCAGAATCAACAATCTCTGGTGTTACTACCTATAAATGTTAATATTAACCACTTGCCCTCCTGAGGATTTACCCCCCCCCTTAATGACCAGGCCTCTTTTTGCTACTCGTCGCTGCACTAATTCAACTGAACTGTACCCAAACGAAATTTATGTCCTTTTTTTCACACAAATAGAGCTTTCTTTTAGTGGTATTTGATCCTGTGCGCTTTTTATTTTTCACGCTATAAACAAAAAAAAAGACCAAAAATTTTGAAGAAAACTGATATTTTTTACTGTCAGCTATACAAAAAATATATAGTAAACTCAAAGTTGGTTATAAATTTAGGCCAAAATGTATTCTGCTACATGTTTTTGGTAAAAAAAATCCCAATAAGTGTATATTGATTGCTTTGTGTGAAAGTTATAGCATCTACAAACTGGTATAGATACTGCAATTTACGCCATTTTTTTTGCTATACAGCGCTGCGCTAGTTTAACAGACAATTGCGCGGTCATGCAATACGGTACATAAATGAAATTTATGTCCTTTTTTTCACACAAATGGAGCTTTCTTTCGGTGGTATTTGATTGCCTGTACGTTTTTTATTTTTTGCGCTATAAAAAAAAAAGACTGACAATTTTGAGAAAAAAAAAAACAATATTTTGGACTTTTTGATATAAAACATGTCCAGTAAAAAAAATGTAAAAAACAAATTTCGTCAGAAATTTCGGCCAAAATGCATTCTGCGACATGTCTTTGCTAAAAAAAAAAAACCTTGGTCTACGTGAAAGTTATAGCGTCTACAAATGGCGGGAAAGATACTTGGATTTTTAATTTTTTTTATACTAATAATGGCGGCGATCAACGACTTATGGCGGCGTTCAGTGACTTATGGCGGCGATCAGCGACTTATGGCAGGACTGTGGGACTGCGGCGGACATTCTGACACTGGGAGGGAACTGACTTGGGGTCACTGACATCCCCAGTGACACCAATACAGTGATCAGTGCAAAAAATAAAACACTGACACTGTACTAATGGCACTGGGTAGGAAGGGGTTAACTTTTTTATTCACTGAAAGGGTTAATTGTGTGAGGGGAGTGTTTTACTAGGGGGCAGGGGTGTGTAATGCGCGGGGACACGCTGATCGGGAGAGATAAACTCTTCTCTCCCGATCAGCGTGTCAGGAGCTGTCAGGGAACTGACAGAAAGCAGAGCTACTGCAGCCCTGCTCTCTGTCAGTGATTGCCGCTAATCGGTGGGACCGGCTGTGACCCGGCGACTGACACCCGTGGCCGGGATCGGCGCTGCAGATAGGGCGGCGGCGCGCCTCGTACGCGCACCCTACCTGTTTTGCAGAAGCGTGTTTTAAAACGTGCTTTTGCCCAGCTGTGCCGCCCTGCCACCGTATTTCTACAGTGGCTGGGCGGCAAGTGGTTAAGTATTATTTTGCACATTTAGGGATACATCCAGCCCTTTTTAAAACCATCTACTGAGCTGAGCAGAACTAGTTATTGAATGGAGTCTATCCCACATTTGCTCTTACTGTAAGAAGCCTTTCCGTATATAGAATTTAAATCTCTTTTCCTCCAAAGTGCACTTTCAGAAAGTGCACCAAACCCACAGGATATAATAGAGATCTATGGCTAGGCACAGCAAAACCCACAGGAAAGCTGCAGGTACACTGCACCCATGGTGTGGGTAAATCACAGAGCACCAGTGTGAAATAGCCCTATACTATAATGCCCAGTGTATTGCT